GGGCGAGCTGCCCCTGCCCGCCGCAGCAGAGGCCGCTGGGCCCCGGGAGCGCTGGGGACAGGACCGGCTTTGCTGCCTGGCCCTGCTGCGGGATGTTCTGGGGATTCCCTTGCTTATGGGAGGCGTTTATGGGGCAAAAAAGCTGCAAGCTGTAGCCGGGTGTAATTAAACCAGAGCGAAAGGGGAGAACGGGCTGCCCAGGGAAGTGGTCGAGTCCCCATCCCTGGAGGTATTTAAAAGATAGGTAGATGTGGTGCCTAGAGACATGGTTTACTGGTGGAGTTGGCAGTGCTAGGTTAGCGGTTGGACTTGATGATCTTTAGGTTGGACTTTTCCAACCTAAATGATTCTATGGTTTAGGTCAGATGTAAATTCTTTACGATGAGGGTGGTGAGGCACTGGAACAGGTTGCCCAGAGAAGCTGTGGATGCCCCATCTCTGGAAGTGTTCAGCATCAGGTGGGGTGAGGCTTTCAGTGGCCTGATCTGGTGAAAGATGTCCCTGCCTGCAGCAGGGGGGCTGGACAGGGTGATCTTTGAAGGCTCCTTCCAACCCAGACTGCCCTATGAAATGACTATGGGGTGCAGGACCAGCTCTTTTAAATTTAGAGGCTGTTTTTCTTAAGTTTGAAGTGAAGTTAAATGTTGTTGGATGGAAGTAAATAACTCTACATCCTTTTGATCTTAACCTCTGTTCTGCACTTCATTTTGTTTTAAAGTCTTTCTCGTGGAAGAAAACCTAAAGTTGAGGTTTGGCACAAAAAGCAAACTGTCCAGTGAGGGAATAGTAACTCCTGTGGTTAGGAGGAGGAAGTCTGTGTCTCACAGGGTTTCTTGTTTCTAGCATTTGTTTTGTGGTTCTTTGTTGCTAGGGTCTCGTGATCAGTGGTAGAGCTATGACAGCTAGATACACCGGGCAAGAAACTGATTTAAGGAACGAGGGGGAAAACAAGATCTAAACAGCAGCCTCTAATCTGTGTGACTGCCATTCTCTAAACAGTTTGTGTTTCTGAGCTGTCTGTGGAAGGGTGCTCTTGCCTAATTGACCTTGGAGTCCAATTTGTAGTTATGAGAATGGAAGTAGATAATGTTCTGGTTTCTTTCCTGTTGACCTTTTTGTACTTAAACTAACAACTTGTTGGCTCTGAGCCTGGCAGGTTTTCAAATGTTGGATGCAAGTTGCTTGTTCATTGCTGAGAATTATAAGGTTCAAGCTCTAAATATTCATGAGCTGTAGTGAGAACAGCGTATGGGTTTCTTCCATGGGATGAAGGCTAGCTGCTGGAGCAGCTTGGCCTTGTGTCTCATGTGAGTAGTTAGAGATGTGTCCTGGCAAGGTGCTGAGATATTTTCTCACCTTAAACTGTACCCTGCTTCTTCCCCACAGATTGAGGATGGGGATGCTAACACGAATGCACCTATCATAACTCCTTCATCGTCCACCGAAAGTGTTAACAAGGTACCTGTGGTGAAGGCCAAGGCCACTCATATCATCATGAACTCTCTCATTACAAGTAAGAATTCTCATCTCTAGCGTGATGGCTAATGGGGTGCGGGCACACGAGCGTGCTCCAGCTTGGTAATGTCTCAGGGTAACTACCAGAGTTCCTGGACAACTTGTGGGTTCAGACTGACTCTGCTCTTGAGCTGTATGAGGGGTTGGTTTTTTTGTTTTTTTGGAGCATGTTTCTAGAAGGAAGCAGGGAACTAGGGGACATGCCATGCTTATTGCCTCTGTGTTTCCAGGTGCTGGAGGTGGGTGGTGAGGGAGGAGTGCAGGGTACATTATCTGCTGGTAGGACACTGTAGTTCACGCCACCTTGTTGCTGGAGTGCAGAGGTGGTGGCTACTGCTGTGACTCTGCTTATTAACTTGCTATTTCTGAATGACAGGTAAAGCTCTAAAATGAACTAAAGTGGTGTGGAGAGCTGGCATACTGTGCTAATGGCGCACTTGCTGGCATTTGTTAGTTAACAGTAGTGGCAGCTGTCTTGCTGACAGTAAAACTTACTTTAAAAAAACAAACCTCATAAATTGTGATGCTTTAAAATCAAATTGAATCAGTTATGCTTGCAGAGAAGACATGCCTGTTTGCCACAAGAGGAATTATTCACGTGTTAATATGTCCCCAGTGCCTCTTTTAGCAGCTGGGATCTGAGCTTCAGCTGGGATCAGAGCTTCATCTTTTCCTCCAAGCAGTGCTTACAAAGACTTCTAGATTTTCAGACCAGCATTTTGGTATAGCTATACATTTGCGCTTATTTCAGCCTTGGCTCAAAAATAACCAACACATCAGAAAATAACATCCAGGAATATGGACTTTCTTCTGGAAAGCAGCTCCTGTTCTAGTCTAATGATTAAATGCTAATCTAGTTAAAACCATGATGGCCTAAAAATGTTCATGTGCAGTAAGAAGTCAGGAGCCCCAACCTATACCTCCCAGGAAGAACATTCAGTCAGAAGTTGGAAATAAACAGGCAAAGGTCCTCTAGATTTCTCATATATACAGTGCACTATCCCTGCGATAACTTTAAGGTGGGAAGTGTAACCTGTTTTAAAGATGAGCTTTTCCAGTAATCTTTTTGTACTCTTATTCCTTTTGACTTTTTTCTTAGTTCCACTAAGGAGTGAACATCTTATGCTGGTAGTAGGGAGGGGAAAGTGCTTATAATTTCAGAACTGAAGTTGGTATCAGTGTATTAGATGCTGTCTTAGTATTTGGCTGAAATAGCTTATTTTACCTCATCGGGAATCACTGGGAGTCTTTACCACCTGCAAGGCTGTGATTGTCAGATTAGATAGTGTAGGCAATCTTTCAGAAGGCTTCATTTTTTGTTGGCGAAGAAAAACTCATTTGAACCTGGAGGGCCACTTAAAATGTCCAGCTTATTGAGAACTCCTACATTTAGGAAGTTGTAATTAGGAGTGATGCAGCTTCTTGGGTGAGATGGGTTTAATTACAGGTGTTGCATTTGTAATACATCTGGTGATTTGGGACAAATCACTGCTCATCTGACTTATCCCTACGAGTCAGGATAGTTTTCAAGTCAGAGTATCTCGTTAGCTTCACCTTGCTGCCTCCGTTAACTCACCACAACATGTAGGTATGAATGATTAAAAAGGGTCTTACATTCCATTGCTTAAGTTGCTTTTGTTTGCTAGACCTGACTGTGGTGGTATTTCTGTGTGAATATGTGCTCTTGTCCGTTCCAGAGCAGACTCAGGAGAGCATTCAGCGCTTTGAGCAGCAGGCAGGACTGAGAGATGCTGGTTACACTCCCCACAAAGGCCTCACTACTGAGGAGACCAAGTATCACCGAGTGGCTGAGGCAGTCCATGTAAGGCTTGTTTTACATTGGCTTTTTCCATGTAGATTGTGTGCTGGCTTAACACCTATCTGGTGACATAACTTTTGGAGCGTGTTGCTTGGACTCTCCTTAAACTGCTTCCTCTGAAGGCTTTTAGCTCATTGTGTAAAAAAGATTACCCACTTACATTTTACAGTTAGTGTTAGCTCTTAAAGTTTTGAAACAAACTTCTTTCTGAAATTGCCATATCCCACAGTCATGTCAGGCTATCACAGTCATCTTTCCAAGTGGGGACAGCCCTACACAGCATCTAGTTTGTTGCTGTACATTTGAGCGGTGCCCTGCAGTTGGCTGTTGCAACTGTTTGTTCCAAGAGAACTTGTAAACCGTGCATTTCTGATGTGGAACTTAGAGGGAAGCCCAATTTGATCTGCTTACTGGGAACAAAGACAAAGGTCTTGAATCAATATGTTTCTGATGAGCTTGGTTGCTCACAGTAATCCTGCAGTTGGAGTTTAATAGTGAACTCTCCAAGTGTTCTCCCACAAGGTCAAAGTTTCAGTAACAGTGTTGGTGAATTGCATTAGTGCAGCTTGGATAGGCACAGGAAACATTCTGAGAAGGTGCCTGTGTAGTTGGTGTTTGAACTATAACTGCTCTTCAAGTGATTTCTTCAAAGTTCAGTTTGTGCCGTCTGACTTGTAATAACCTGGTTCACATACACGCACTTCCTGTTTATTTTGAGCGAGCATACTCTCCAAATGCAGCTCATCCCAGCGTTCCCATCCTGTTGTATGTGGATTACTTCTCCGGGTCTAGTACTCCTAGACCTTGTACCTTCTGCATGAGGTCTGGTCTCACCTTTGTTAGAGAACTTGTGGGACTGAAAGCTTTTCTTCTCTGAAAAGTGCTGCAGACAAATGGTTGCTGTGGCATTTAGGCTTGTTACCAGGGAACCGACGTGTAGGTCTGCTACATCTCCAGCCTCCCTATGAATTCTGGTATTGAAGCAGTGCATTACTATTGGGTAGTGACTCTGGATTGCAGAGTGAGCTGTAGGTGTTATTTTACTTCCTCTAGCCTGGAGGGTGTTTTGAGCATAGTGGACTTCCAAAATGCTTGTATCTGATGTGGAGAGAAGCTTAAGGGGTGTATGCAAGTACTGTAATACTGGATTTAGCTTTATGTGAAGTGACACTTAAATCCTTTATCACATGAGATAGAAACAATTGTCCAGTTTTGACAATAAAACTAGCTGTTTGTTCCTTATGTCTTGTATTTAAGCTCTGTTGCTTCTGTGTTTCTCTTGCCTCTCCTAACAGAAGCTAAAAATGCAGAGTGGAGAGATGACAAAAGATGACAAACAGACTTCTTCTGCTCAGTCCACTCCAAGCAGCACTCCCCACTCCTCTCCCAAGCATAAAAACAGGTACTCTGTTCCTGGCAGACCACTGCCTCCTTTGGTTTCCTACAGGCTGCTGAGGTGGGAGCTGCTATGAATAACCTTATCCACTGAGGGACTGTCTAAGGGGTAAAATTCAGAGCCTGCTGTGGATTTGTGTTGGATAGATCCAACTGTTGAAAGCTTGTGGAACTTGAGCATACATATCTTCATCCTAGGTGGTAACAAACCTATTAAGATCGTTTAAATTGCCCCTGATAACTACATGTAAAGTTCCTGGCACAGTGGGCCACCTGAAGTATTTATTCTCATGTTTTATACATCTCAATGATTTTTCCCTAGGGGTTGGTTTAGTCAGGGATCCTCTACATCTATCACTGGCCCAGACTTTGCAATGGAAGCTGGTGGGGACAAATTGCCATCTGAAAGATGGAGCTTTTTTGGACCCAAAGCCATCCAGAAATCCACCAATGATCCAGGTATGTCCTCTAAAATCTCCTGCCCTGCCAAGAGCTAGGGGAGAACTGTCACACAACAAACTTGCTAGCTATTTCTGGAGCCTTATCCTGCTTGCCTTGTTACTTTCTAGGATCATCTTGTGAATGTCTGCTATTGATGCAATTTCTGTGCCTAAATATAAAGCAGTTAGGTAAAACCTATGCCAGGATTCTGAAAGTAGAAATAACTTGCACTGATCTCCAGTGGAAGGGCAGGGTGTGAAGGTGATGGCTTTTTCTCTGCTGTCTAGTGGAACCAGAATTGGAAGTGTCAGCCACTGATGTGAAATAGGCTTTAGATGACATGAAGCTGCAGTGTCTTGCATAGGCTTTCTGCAGGGTTGGGCATTGGTGACGCTGCTCACTCTTGGCAGCAGTGGAGAAAGGACTTGGCTAGTTTTCCTAGCTCTTACTTGCTGTGATTTTTTTCACCAGGAGGATTCACCATCCAATCCTATAAGGGTGCCCAGAAGCCATCCCCAATGGAGCTGATGCGTGCTCAGGCTACTAGGATGCCAGAGGATCCAGTCACCTTCAAGCCACCCAAAATGGACATTCCAGTCACGGAAGGGAGGAAAAAATCTCCACGTTCCCATAATATCAAACCTCGGGATCTGAATGTGCTCACTCCTACTGGGTTCTAGGAAGAATGCTTCTGGTGTCTTTAGCAGGCTACAGGGTGTGTTAGGCTCTGCTTTCTTGTCCCATTGTGCTGCAGTAAAATAGGAAAGTCTCCCTTCCAGCTCTTCACTTCAGAAAAGGAAACAGTTGTGACTGTCTTCCTAAAGCCAGTCTTGTACAGAACCTGCACTAGTCTTGTACTACTGCACTAGTACTAAACCAATGTAAACCATCCTGTCTGCTTTATCGCACCAGCTCAGTCTGCTAGGCTGTGCTAGATGTGCTTCCCAGTACACTGCACCACAGTAAAACCTTGAACCATGTTTTGTGGGACAGGACTGCATGTGGTGTGCAAGCAGGCTGGCTTGCCTACTTGCAGTCCGATTGTCTTATCGTGCTCAGTGCTGAAGTACCTGCAGGAGCACTGTGGTTCCATCGGGCATATACAGAACACCAGTGGAAAATGATGAAAACAAGGAAGGACTAAAAACTGGACCATTAACTACCAGAAAGAAGCTGCCCTGGGAATGTGGTGGACTGGTTTTAAATGTGACACTCCTTTACTATCCAGTTCAACACCTAATACTTTGTTCTTGGATATTTTTTTAAAGGAAAAGTGGAACAGTGACTATTCTAAGATGCTCTTAATAGAAAGGCAGGAAGTAGAATCCAAGGGGGCTTGGCAGTAATGTGGAGGAATTGTTTCTCTTCCAACTCTTCAAGTTCCTCCAAAAAGGTGGAAATGACCAGATCTGTTGTGGCTTGAACCAAGTAATCCTCTTTTCTCCTTTCCGCAAAACAGGATTGTCCTGCCTTCTCCTAGACAACAGACTTAGAGATATTCTGGCACTCTGGGTGCTGCTTGATCTGTGCGTTTTTTTTTTTTTTCTAGCATCTTGTATGAGTCATGTAGTAGAAGTGTATTAGACACCAGGGGCACTTCTCGGATAGGCTTTTCTGTTTCGTCAGTATCGAATGCATTTTGCAGGTCTGGGAGAGGACTGAGGGCAGATCGAGGCTAAATGTTCTTCCCTGCTATGATACAGCTACATGTCATTTTTGGCCTAGTCAGAACCAGTTACTGGGAAGAGCTAGCACTTGCTTTCATGAAAAGTGGAAGGAACTCCTGGCTACCATCTAATCTCTTAAGCACTATAGGCAGCATTGCTCAATAATCTTCACCTGCCCTGCAGCAAACAGGTCTCCTCTCTCGTGTCACGATTGTGTGGCAGAGTGCCCTCAGCCTGCAGCAGGCTTCCCGTAGTGGTGAGGTGGCAGCAGCAGCCTTGCATCTGGTACTGAAAGCTTCTCTGTTGCAAGGACATTATACAGAGGTTACTTAACAGCTGGTAACTGTTGAGCGCTGGGTTTTCTGCCTTCTGAAACTAAACATTCCTCCTGGAGGGTGAGACAGGGTCGGCTCACTTGGCTGGCTGCTCTCCCCTCTGAAGAAGCATGTTCTGGGGCTCTGCTTCCTCTCAAGCTTGAACAGCAGTGCCAGTGATATGTTGTGGTGAAAGTCTGCCACCCAACCAAGCAGTTTTCACTGTCACCTCTCATTTGCACCTTGGCAATCAGTCTCTCATTTGACATTAATTTATTTGTTGTCTGTATTCATGTCTCTAATGTGTATGATTTTTTTTTTTTGTTTGTTACAAGAGAATAAAATCCTTGTGAATGGAGGTCCTTGGTGTGTGTTAGCACTGGCAAAGCATTCATGGAAGAAATGTGGGGCTGTCCAGTGAGTGTGAGGTCAAGGTTCTGCCTAATAAGGCTCTGGCAGCACTTGCAATAGGGTAAAATGTTTGCTCTGTAAAACTGCCTTTTGACAAGGAGACTAGATGTAAAGCCAGACTCGGTCCTTTCTTGGGGCTTGTGCAGATGAAACTAGACATGAAATCTTTGTGCTGATTCTTCTCAGATTGCTTCTCTTGCAGCCTGTGTGCTGTGTTTGCCCTGTACTGTGGAGGTGGGCACAGGCGTGGGAGCCAGGCTGCTGGTCACCTAGAAGTGCCCAGCTCCTGGTGGTGTGGCCATCTCTGCTTTGCCTTCCTCTGAAAAGCTCTGGTTTGAGTGCTGTTGTGGCATTCATAGCTGCCAAAATACTGCTGATAGAGCATGCAGTTCTGGGCTGGGGGTGTCCAAATTAAACACTGGTGTTCCCTGTGCTTCTAGAGTGTTAGCAGAATTGGAAATGGTGACATAACTCCTTGAAGCACCCAGGTGAAGCACCTGCTGCTGCAGGTCTTTGTTACACAGGCTAGTCTCATAGCTTAGGTTGGAACGGCTGGGGTTAAAGTGTGGCCCCTTGGTGTGATATTCTCATTCTACTTCCTGTATTTATATCCATAACTATGGACCTCTTGCTGGAGTGCAGCTCCTTTTCTAGTTTAATGGTAGAAGTCTAATCCAATTGAAGGACCTATCTGGAAAGTACACCTGAATGAGCATACCATACAGGAAGAGCTGCCTTTGAGAGCAGGGAGCACTTGGATTTTGTACAATTGGGAATGCTTCTGGCTCCTACTCCCAAACCAGACTTCTTCACTTTTCCCTGGATGGCTTATACCTGGATTAGAGGGGCAAGGTCACGTGGATGAGCGGTTTGTTCTCCATCTGGCAGTTGGAAAGAGGCTTCCTAAAGAACAAGGAGCAAACCTGCGAGCCCCAGGTCAGACCCTTGTGAACAGTTCTGGGCTAACTGAATCCAGGCTTCTGGATGAGGCCTTGCTGTGTAGTAAGCACCAGGTCTTCAGCGTGTGCAGCACTAACATCAGGGCTACTCCACCCCTGGCCGTGACTGCGCTGCTCAATGCTTCTAGGCTCTGGTCTCCTCATTAGGACCCTTCCAAGGTTGCCTGCCATAGGGGCAGGTAAAGGGGTGGTGGGCAGCTACAGGAGTTGTCTTTCTCCCACTGCCAACCTCTGTTGCTTCTGAACTGTCTGAGGAGATGTTCTATAGAGATGCATAATTGCTCTCTGACTTCAGCTGTGATTTGAATTGTCGCCAGTGTATTTGAATGCAATATTCATAACACACAGACTTGCCTGCACTGCAGACACTTCAGTGCATTCTGGAAGAGGCGCAGCCTTTTCAGCTGATGCTACTATCCAGTCCTCCCTCTTGACATGCTAATCACCTTGGGCAAGTCATGTAGGTGTATTTGATTTGGAACAGAATGTTCCTCTCCTGAGGACTGACCAGCATGGCTTGGGGACCTGCACACTGTGAATGCCCTCGCTGCAGCTGACACCTGCTTTTTTTCTGAAATATTATCACCTTTTCCTAAATACTGAACAGGTATTTTGGCATTTTGCTTGCTGTGCAAACTCTTGTCAGAGTTTATGGCTGCATTAGTCTAATGCTGTCCCAAGATACAGCTGCAGACCTCTGCACTTTCGGGCAGGGCTGTCACCAAGGTGAAAGAGTTGCAGAAAATATAAAAATAATTTATTTTTTTAAAGTGTACAAAGCGTCTTGTAGAACTGTAGAATCAGGCAAGTTTGAAAGCAAATTCTGAGACCATGTAAACCAGACATTTTTCCAAAGAAATGTGTAAACAAACCCACATGAGGTATGACACTTGAGACTGCAGCATGAGATGGGGGTTTTGATGTGGTTTTAGAGAGGAAACAAAAAGTTCTTTGTGCCCCCTGCCACAGTGGTTGTCTCCATCAGGTAGAAGTAACAATGAGGAACAACTCCCGAAACATGCACAATTTCTCCATGATCTGCAGGGGAAAAGGCTGCCCCAGGACCTGCTGCATTCGGCTGATGAAGTCCTCTATCTTCAGTTGAATGTCCAGATGGCTGATATCATCACCGTCCTGGAGCTTGGGCTTGGCTTTCTGAATGATCAAGTCCATCCGGTCGTTGAGGGAGCTCCGCAAGTGCTCTGCAAGAGGAAATGCAGGTGGGAAGAGGCAACATGCGGTGGGTTGCCTGACCTCTTTAGGGACAGACTGCAGTGTGCCACAGGCAGTGCTGCACTGTGGTGTGGTGGAGGGGTTGGGAACTGTGCTGACCCTCTCATGGTTATCCTTGATGCCTCTGCACAAGTCTAGCCTGGTGGAAGAAAGTACTGTCCCCTCCTGCAGCTCAGGCTGCATGTGGAGAGCACCCAAGAGATGGGGAGGGGGCAGGGCTTGTAGCATCCTTTTCTCCTGTGCTAGTGCAGACCAGACAGCTGTCCAGCTGCAAAGGGGGAGCCTCCAAAGAGCTTAACAGTGATTGTCTAGGGCTTTAGGGAGAATAAGACTCTATGTACATGTGATGATGCATTCCTCTGCATTCTTCCATGAGAGCCTTAACCCTGGGCAGCAGCTGAAGTTGGGAAGAGACTTTAGGAATTTTCTGATAAAACAACTTTAGGGAGTTTTAGGGATTATTTTGTGACTGTGCCACTCTCCTGGAGTCAGAAATACTGCTCCCTCCATGGCTACTGTGCATGGTACTCCCTGCTGTCTAAGTGCTGAGTGTGTCCTGGATTTACCATCCCTTTGACTTCTGCTTTTCCTCCTAAACCGCCCTATTCTTCCACCCACTGTGTGTGCAACTTAGACAATAGGAGGTACAAAGCACCCCCTTGTGTAATTCTAGTGCAGGGATTGATCCTTTAGGAAATAGGCAATTTCTCAGAAGCTAAACTTGGCAAAGCAGGTTGGGTGCTCTGCTTGATGCAACATCACTTTGCTCTGACTGCTGGGAATAGTAACTAGCATGGACAGAGGCACATTATCTTTCTAAGACTCAGCGGCCATGAGTTGAAGAGTGATGAGAAGAGAGGACGGAAGGGTACTTTGGCTGTTCTACTGCAGCCTCTTGATGAGACGGTGTTTATTAAGGCCAGAACAGGCTGCTTACCCAGTATTACATTTTGGTAACTCATCAGCAGCAAATTCAAGTACTGCAGCATCTCATCCCATCTTTGCCATGTTGCTGTTTCATCCTATGACAGGAGACAGTATTTGGTTATTAGAAGAGGTTTTCTTAGGAGAAAACACGGTAAAGGAGAGGTTGGACTGGATACCTGGTTTTGCAGTAGCACAGAGGAGTGGCTCAGGAAGTACAGGATCTTGGCCAGAGACAAGGGCAAGGTTGTGGGAACATCACAACTATGCTGGAACAACAGCTCTAGCAATTTGCAGCGCAAGAGCTGGCTCTCCATGGTGTTTAAGAAAGCTTCCCTGGAAGACAAAGGGATTTACTTTGGGGGAGGCAGCACAGCCTGACCAGGGACAACTGCTCCAGCATGTTCCTGGTGTCCCACTGGTGCTGATCTGGTGCAGGGGTTGCCCAGCAGTGCAGTGGAAGGAAAACCACCAGATGTGATAGAGATCTTCGTTATGCAGCTTGGCCATGGACATGTTTACGTCCTTAGGTCTGACCTGTGGCAACCCGAGGTTGGTACGGTCTGTGAAGCAAGCTTAGCTGCTTCACTTCACCCTGCCCAGCAGCCTGTGTGGAAGTTACCCATTCAAAAAAAAACTTGAAGGGAGCACAGCCAAGCAAGTGTGAAGTGGGGTCAGTGGCCATCACTCACACGTCAGATTGATACCTTGGTTAGAATCAATTTGGCTTGATTACACTTGTGTGCTCAGAGAGAGTTCTGCTAAAAAAGTCCAAAAGGGCTGCCTGCTGGGGCTCGCAAACATGGGTCTGAAATGTCTGTGGGTCTAGTGGTCTCATGTCTACGCTAGAGCCAGTTGGGCCCTTGTGCTTTGGTTTCAGATACTGCATTTCTCAGAGAAGCAAACAAAATCATGTCAAGGCAAAGCTGCAAGAACTGCATCGTATTTCTGATGAGCTTCTCAGTTATCCCTGGCAATCAGTGATGTGTTTGCCTGTACGTGACCATGCTGATGAGGAGTGCTGATTGTCAGACCCTCTTTACAGTTTTACAGGCCTGCAACTTTAACAGGTGGGAGAATCAACTTTTCTTAGCAACACATGAGCTGGGGAGATGCGGTCAGCTGGTGATGTTCTATCTCCATGGGATCTGTCAGTCCAACAGCCATGCGTTTACTGGCTGGGTCATAAATGAGCCTGTCTTTCTATACCCTGTGGTACTTCATGCATGCAGACTTGGATGTAAATTGGGCGTAAGACTATTGCTCACACAGGCAGATGCTGCCTTGCACGTTTGTCTCACCTTTGGCTCCTCAGGGGAATATTCAGTATAAATGGGAATATCACATCTGCGATCTTACAGGAGCTGCAGTTGGGAGATTTGTCCACTTCCACTGCAATGGACAACATCCGCTGGAGCAGGAGCATCACCCTAGGTTAGAGAGACAGTCAAAACTAGGAGACACTACCCCTCAGCTTGCAAAGTAAAGCAGTGGGGACAGCACCTAGTTCAGCCTCATGCCTTGCAGTGAGGGGTGTAGGGGAACGTAGCAGGCTAGATTTGGTGTCTCTTGGTGGCTTTTGAATCTGATGCTCTTGGAAGCAGAGCTAATCCCAGATGGGACCTCGGGAGGTCTCAGTGGCTGTACTGAGTGTTGGTGGAACAAGACGGGGCAGCCTGAGCTGTGGGCCAAGAGCTCCAGCCTTATGCTACATGTAAGAGGGGGATGCACTGGTTTCCTACCAGGTGAAAAAGTCTCTTGCTCACCAAGTGTATGTCTATCCCAAAGGAGAACTTCAGGTACAGCCTGGCTTCCCTGACCTGACAGGGAGAGACTCTGGCTTCTCCCTGACTTGGGCCCCATGATACTGCCAGCAGGGAGTCAGGACTTCTGGGGCTTACTTCTGGGTGAAGAAAGCTGGTGGAGCCACCTCTGCCTGGGCAGTGCTGGCCTGACATGGTGTAGATGAGCTGCGTTCAGCCCTTTCTTCTGCTGAAGAGGATGTAATCTCTTGCTGCTGCTGCTGTGTCTGGGAGAACCCAACTCCTGTAACTGCTGCAACCAACCATTCGACCACCTCCCTGAGACAAACAGAAACAGAAACGTTAGCAGGGACAGGCCTGGTTTTGCTGCATTCTGACCTCTAGATTCACCTGGAGTTCAAGGAAAGACCCCAAGGATGAAGAATACGTCCCACCCACTTGGATAGGCTATGGAGTAGCTCTACTGAAGCAGCAGATTTATATGCTTGTCAACAGGACTGACTCCTCAGTCCTGTCCTAAGCAATGCAAATCTAACCTTGTTCCTGGGAAAAGCCCGCTAAGATGGGACCTCGGGAGGTCTCAGTGGCTGTACTGAGTGTTGGTGGAACAAGACGGGGCAGCCTGAGCTGTGGGCCAAGAGCTCCAGCCTTATGCTACATGTAAGAGGGGGATGCGCTGGTTTCCTACCAGGTGAAAAAGTCTCTTGCTCACCAAGTGTATGTCTATCCCAAAGGAGAACTTCAGGTACAGCCTGGCTTCCCTGACCTGACAGGGAGAGACTCTGGCTTCTCCCTGACTTGGGCCCCATGATACTGCCAGCAGGGAGTCAGGACTTCTGGGGCTTACTTCTGGGTGAAGAAAGCTGGTGGAGCCACCTCTGCCTGGGCAGTGCTGGCCTGACATGGTGTAGATGAGCTGCGTTCAGCCCTTTCTTCTGCTGAAGAGGATGTAATCTCTTGCTGCTGCTGCTGTGTCTGGGAGAACCCAACTCCTGTAACTGCTGCAACCAACCATTCGACCACCTCCCTGAGACAAACAGAAACAGAAACGTTAGCAGGGACAGGCCTGGTTTTGCTGCATTCTGACCTCTAGATTCACCTGGAGTTCAAGGAAAGACCCCAAGGATGAAGAATATGTCCCACCCACTTGGATAGGCTATGGAGTAGCTCTACTGAAGCAGCAGATTTATATGCTTGTCAACAGGACTGACTCCTCAGTCCTGTCCTAAGCAATGCAAATCTAACCTTGTTCCTGGGAAAAGCCCGCTAGGTTGTGGCTGGGAATGCCTTGAATCATCTCTCCCAGTTTGCTTTTGTAAACCTGCTCGTGTTCTTTATATTTGGGCCCTACACTTCCCTCTGTCTCCCAGAGACTTTCCTGGAAAGTCTGAAAGTCTGACCTGGAGTCTTGACAAGCATTCCCTGAGCCCCTGCCCCTCAGCATCTGGTTGGAGAATAGAGGAGGAGGAGGTGTCCCTTACTTGACATTGTTGAAGCACATGTCACACGAAAGCACTTTCTTGGCAATCGACTTCTGCAGCATGCGCAACCTCAGGTTCTGCTGGAAATCATCCTCCAGGGTCTGCACCACATATTGCAGGAAGAGGAGCCAGCCAGGGGGCTTCTCCTGAGGGCAGATGGAGGTGGTATGAGCCTGATGGAGCTGCAGGGCAAAGAGCACCAGGGAATGTGGCTGTCTCAGGAATGGGCTGATATACATGGCTGAGGAGTAGCTCCAGGAGGGGCTTCCTGGCTCAGGCAATGCCCTGGGGGCTTCGCTGGACCTGCTCTACCATTGCACTAGGTCTGTGGCCTACAGAGGCTCTGTCTGTTGCTTTGTCTTCTTCAGATGAGGCAACCTGTCTACAGCTGTGCAGCAGCTTAGGAAGCACTGTGGATAAAAGTGGGAGACCCAATGGGCATCTGCTGCCTTCAGTGGCTGCAATAAAACTACATGTTGGACTGGCCCATTCTGCAGCAGAGGATGGCCATGAGACCCTGGGGCAATGCTTACTCTCAGGCACCGCGTAATGGATGATCCCTGCCCGATGTGATACACACGGTGCCAAGTACCTGGTCCTCCATGATGTATTTCAGCAGCGTCCAGTCCCATCCCACCGTCGTCATGTTGGCTGGATGGAGCCTGCAAGGACAGCACTGTCCGTTTGTGCTGAACTGCCCAGCAGTCTGCCTGGAGGCACAGCAGCCCCTGGCCCTCCCTGGCCCCACGTGCTCAGAGGCCTGACATTCCTTCTCATCTCCAGCTTCACCCTCTCCCTTTCTCCTCCCCTGACCACATTATTTTTTTTTGGAAGCACCTGACTGGTGCTGTACTCCATGGAGAACATTGGCACTCCTGGGCCCATGGCCTCACAAAACATTGTGATTCTCTCTGGGAATCCTGAGGGCAGTGGGGGAACCGTTCTAGCCACCTCCAGCCCATGATCCCTGCTGCAGCCCATGGAAGCCATTCCTGCCATGTCACAGCAGTGAAGAATGAGATCTGCTCTTCAGAAGCAAGGCAAACACACTCCTCTGTCCTAGAGGGCTCACTGGTGTCAAAAGCCACCCCTGCGCTGTGCGGGCTTGCTACTAAATTATTAAAGCATGCTCATGATATAGTTGGAGCTGCTTTCCCTCTTGCCTCAGCTTCCCCTGCCTCGCTTCCCCTGCCTCGCTTCCCCACCCCCATCCTCCATCTGCTTGGGGGTTTAGCGGCTGGGGGGTGGGGCGGCCGG